CACCGTGGCAACAAGGGGCCCCGCGCAAGGCTCCTCTTCACGTCCTCAACATTAAATTCTTCTCAGAGCCTGATTCTTTACGATTACTAGTAGACACACTTCTTATAAAAAATATATTAACATGCGAGATACACATAAAAGCTGCTCAGGTTACCAATTCTTTTATTCCAATAAATCCGGATCGAGTCTTATTTTTTTGGCGGCTGAAGTTGATGTCTTGTTTCTAGCTCGCTTTTGTTTCTTCTCAGCAGATGTTCCCCATTTCTCCAATCCGTCGTGTAAAGCATTGACCCACTAAAGGGGTCCAGGTCTCAAAATCAAAACTTGCAAGAATCTCCGATGATCGTTGATTGACGAGAGGGAAGCTAAATTTATGATGTACCGTCCATTGTTGGTGTGTTCCAACTCGAGTTTCTTGTGCTTAGTACTCTTCTGCTGCTCCACTGTTGTGAACTCTGTTTCTGTGAGCTTACATTCGCCACCTTTGCAGTCATGCTGAACATTCAAAGTAGATTGGATTTTCTGTAAAATGAAAAGAGTTAAATTTATATAAAAAATTATTGTTGATCAAATAGACCATTGAGAAAATCTTACTTGTGTGTTGACAAAGACTGAATGGGGAGTTCTCTGTATCCCTCTCATTCTATAAACTAAATTTTCCTCCATCTTTTGGAACACAGTTGTGTGAACAAAGTAATTTGCTTGATGAGAAGGCTTCTGGACACTCCAGATAGAATCGATTGATCCAATATGTTCAGCTCTTTGAGGTTGGAGGACATTGAACTATAAACAAATCAAATTTTCAGTTCATTAGGAGAAAATTCCCTGCCAAAAATTAAAGAGAATGGAAAATTACCAAAATAAAGATATTTTTCTTGAGGACTTTCTTTTCATTCAACTGTAGTTCAGAGATTTGATCAATTTTGTGGCCAGGATAAGAGCTCTTCAGTTCTTGAGGTGTTGCTAATTTTTCACTTTCTGGGAGAGTAGATTTTCTAACATAAGGATAATTGATAGTCTGAAGGGATGATGATTGATTATAGCCTAATGTTTGCTGGATCAAGGGATTTTGGAAAAACATATTGGTGACTTGGTTGGAAGATTGAACAAATTTTTTCTGTTTTTTGTCAAAGAAGAAACCACCAGACATAATTTGACGAAAAGAATGATAATTGCTGAAAGTGATGGCTATATCTTGGCCAGGGCTTTGACGGTTGGAATGAATCGAAGCATTTCTCAGGATACCATTATAACTTTCAAATTTTTCCGTTGCAAAAAGGGCAGCTGGACCATATTGGAGGATTGATTCTGGAAGATGAAGTAACATATGAAATTTGGCTTTATTGACCCATTGAGCGGAATCTTGAATGATGTGATATAAGAAGATATCAATATGCTTCTTCAAGTCGGAAATATATAACTCCATGTCTTCAATGTGAGTTTGGAATATTAAAGAGCCCAGACTGCAGAGAGAAGACCAGATGTTGATTTGAGATGGGGTCATGAACTGGAAAAATATAAAAGGAGCTGCTTGAAGAATAATTCTAAAATCTTTTCCAATCAAGCTTGAACAGTATTGCACCATGCTGGTGGGTCTGATAGAAGGAATATTCAGAGAGTTGGTGTTAAAGCAATTCCATAAGGCCAAAAGTTCTTTCTTTTGAATTTCGTCCAATCCACTCATAAAATCTCCAAATAAATACTTCACTGGTCCCAGCAGAAATACGTGTAAAACTTCAACTGGAGTATCCTTGACAGTATCAAAACCTAAAAAAGACCAAAAAAACCAGAGCACTAGAATCAGAGATGACTTTTGAAAAAGAAAAAATCAAAGAAGTAAAAACCTTTCAACTCCAAGTATGGATTGAACATCCTTTTGGGCTCTTTGTCTTCCATATCCACCAATTTTTGAGGAATATCCTGCTCCATATGGGTCGGTAATTCTTCTCCCCTTGCCACTAATGCAATTTTTTCTGCTTGAAAGTCAAATACTTGTTTGAAAAATTTTAGATTGAGTTGATCTTGAACAGCTATATTTGAAGATTCAACCCTTAGTTTCTCCAGAGTCAAAGTCTTCTTTGTTTCTGTCCAGAGTTTTTTAGAGTTTTGTTTAGTTTCCTCCATTGTTCGGAGCGGGTTGGGGCACTGTTTCAAAATATAAATTAAGAATGAAAAATTAGGATCTCTTTTACCAAATATATGAATAAGGGAAAAAAACTTACATCTGCTCCATTTGGTTTCTTTTGAGTGAATTGGGCAAGATACAGTATTTTTTGTCTGGCTATTAAGGTTTCAGATTTCAAAGTACAACATCGGCAAGAATTGAGTGCATTTCCAGGAACGTGGGTGTTGGTGATTTCAGCGTGCATTGGGGAATCAGCTAGAAAACACAGAATGCTAGTCATAACATGAACTTCTTGGCCTAGAGTCAAATCGTATGCAACAAATCCATTTGTGGGGGCTTGATAAACGCACGCCACCCCCCCTGGCGCACGCCAGGTGGGGATTGGCGTGCACGCCTGCACGCCAAAGAAAATTGGCGTGCGGGCCCGCACGCCAATCTACAGAGTGTAGACCGGCGTGCAGGCCTGCACGCCAAGGATTCGCCGCCGTCCCATAGGACCCAGGCATGGGTCCTATGGGACGGCCTCTTTTTTTTCATTTCATTTTTTTTTTCAAATACCCTCGGCCTAAAGAGGCCGAGGTCACACCGGCTCGTCGGGAGGGGTTCCTCCCGGCGAGCTGGTTTCTATACCAGCTCGTCGGAAGGAAACCCTTCCAACGAGCATGTACACCGGCTCGTCGGAAGGAAACCCTTCCGACGAGCTGGTATATGTACCAGCTCGTCGGAAGGGAATACTTCCGACGAGTTGGTATATGTACCAGCTCGCCGGG